CTGTCTGTCTATCATCTATCTATCTATCTATCTATCTATCATCTAATCTATCTATCTATCTATCTATCTATCTATCCATCTATCATCTAATCTATCTATCTATCTATCTATCTATCTATCTATCTATCTATCTATCTATCATCTAATCTATCTATCTATATGTATTTTGACACTTAAAAATATAAGAATGTAATATATATATATATATAGTATTATATTATAGTATATAGTATATATAATTATATAGTATTTGGACATATATCAATGCTATTATATTAGCTAAAATTATATTAGATTCACAAAAATAAGTTTGTTAGGTATAAAACTGTTCATACTTTAAATTAAAGACAAAGTTTGTGGAAGAAAAAAATATTTTCTTACTAGACACTATGGCCACATAAATAAATCTCCCTCTCTCTCTCTCTCTCTATATATATATATATGAATACATAAAAAATACTTTATGTATGTATGTATGTATGTGTGTGTGTATGTATATATATATATATTATAGAAAATAACATTATGACTATATCTATCTATCTGTGTATGTGTATATATATATATATATATAACTCAGATTCTTAACATGATTCTTTACACCTGTGGCTACTCTGCTATATGACACCTGTGTGAAATTCAGGAGAACTGAATTCATACTTCCACGAAAAATCCCCTTAAGACCCACTGATTAAATGTCACTGAGCAAAACTCTCATAAAAGTATCAAGCAGCATCATTTGTTTGCAGCTGCTGCTTGATTTGATATTTTGCATCTAATGCAATGACATTTAGGTATTTTAAGACTAAGACTAATTCTAAAATATCTAAATACTTTCTGGGGCCACTGTAATGTAGTGAATGCTATTTTCATACCTTCACTTTCCGTCCCATTTTGTCTTTCCACTTCTGTGCAATGGATCCGTCAATGAGCAGCAGTCTGTGAGAGAAATGATTTATGAGAACAGGAATATAATCCACGAATATCCTCTTCACATAAATCAGACGTTACCTGGACCTTTCCTCGTTTTCATAACCCATGATGATATATTCCTCATTGGCTGCTAGCGGAGGACACAGACACCCAGAATTATAATAAAGAGTGACGGTGTCTCGAGGGATGTTGACCAGAGAAGACTTCAAGACGTCTTTGACCTCCACGATGGCGCTCAGGTCATGATTTCTAGTCTTGATCTCTTTCACTCTTGCCCGGATGACTGCAAAGAGAAACAATGAAAGCGTGTACTGTTTTAAGGATTACAAAAAGTAGCTTGAATTTTAACCTGCTGTTTAGAAAAGAGAATGTGTAAGAAATACAATGTCAAGAACTTTATAAAAGGTAAATTGTAAAATAACATTCAGGCCTTACCATAATTGTAATTGTTCTTTGAATATGTCTTTCTACCAAGTCTCACAGACTTGCATTTGCACCGATCTAAAAAAAGTAAAGGATTTTATGTTCAGACATTTGAGGTACAACTATAGTAAATCAGTAAAGTTATGTTTAAAGAAATATTTAAATTTTTGGTATTATTTAAACAGCAAAAATAGAACGTAAAGCACTTTGCTATACCATGTTAAACATATCTGCACATTACATAATATTTAAGAATTATGCACACAAACAAAACAAAAAAACATAATAAATATACATATAAAACTATAAACAGTATTGATACTCAAATAGCATACCATTAGCTCCGTCGCAATTGCCATTATGTGAATCCATTGGGAAGTCTGGATTTCCTTCTGCACAAGAACCAGAACCAGAGAGTTTAATGTTCAAACTGTATTTCATCTATGCATTCCAGAAATACCCTCTTTAAAATGTTCTATGTTAAACAGATAATTCACAAAGTAGTCAAAAATGATCTCACCAGGGTTACATTTTGAAGGGTCTTGATTGTAAGGATTATCTTTAGGGAAGAAATGTTTAAGGATTATTTAACAGGATTATTTTAACAAAATTACATTGATGATAATGATGGCAGATATTAGAAAAAAAATAATAAAGTAAATACTATATACATGCTATAATTTATAAATAAAGTGTATGATTATAGAGGGTGAATTCATGTAAAATTAGCCACTTTGGATACTGAGATGACTGTCAAAGGTGCCCCAAATAAGACCACTTTCATTATAATATAATATAATATGTCATAATTAATCACTACAGTGTATAAATATAATAAAATGTCCCACTTTTCGATACTGAGATTATCAAAAGTCTAATTATCTACCTGAATTAATGCCATATAATAATAATGATGATAATATTAAAAATTATCGCACACTTTACATATAAACATATTACACACTATATGCATAGACTACAATAAAATCTGTATCTATCTATATTACATATGTACATTTACATACGGAAAATTTGCATAAATTGGGTCACTTTTTGACACTGATATGACTATCAAAAGAGTCCCAATTTACCTGAATTCTCCATATTTATTATTAACAATAAATAAATAAATAAATAACAAAAATCATCGATAAATGCATGAATAACCTGGCCCCTCCGCCTTGACTATCGCCTCAGGTGAGATGCAGACTCCTCGGTCGTAGACCAGCCGCACTTGGCCCGCTGGCACACGGACTTGCAGGGCTTGATGGGGTCGTGCTGGAAGTCGATGGTGCATATGGGCGCGTACATGGCGCACAGGAAGAACAGCAGGTCCGGGCTGCACTGTGTGCCCAGGAGCCCCTCGAACTGCTCGATGGCGAGCACGGCGTTGGCCTGCGTGCTGTGATGGAGGTGGTTGGGCATCTTGGTCATGTTCCACGGCATGGACCTGCACATGGGGATGCGGATAGGCTCGCAGGACGCGGCCGCGGTGCCTCGGGGGATCTCCAGGAGACAGGCGATGGCCAGGACGCAGATGAACATCTCGTAGGAAAACATATTATTGGTGATCAAAACACAATTGAGAGATGGGTTTTCTACCGTAAATTTTACGGATTTTTTTTACAGTGTAGGGTAAGCCATGATTGAATTAAAATATGGAGAAATTAAAATGGCATCTACATAAAAATATTAAGGGCACAATTTTCATTAAAACGTAATACAACTCTGTAATCGTGAAATCTAATTCGCTGGGTAACTGGCTAATTCGCCTGGGAATGTGTTTTTATATTTGATTTATTTACGAGTAAAATAAGGTTTATGATTAACATTCATTCCACGTTTTACAACATAAAGCACACAGCCATACCTCAGACATGATTTCTGAAAATAATAATAATAATGCAGGTTGCTAGCAAGTTACTAAACTACAACTAGCATAAGGATGTTACAAGTATGTCAAAGAAACACAAAACGTAATGAAAATAAATGCAAATTCACAGGGAGGGAGAGAGAAGCACGCAGTAACCCACACAGATTAGATCTAGAACAACATCAAAAAAAGAATCACTGTTTCATAGAGGCATCTGTTATCGTAACAAGCATTTAGCATGATGTAGAGTTTTTAATAATTCACCCTTGCCCTCCCCCCCCCATGTCCCAAAATACACAATTAACTATTTAATGTGTTTGTTTCCATGTTTAACCATTGCAAATTAAAACACACACACACAAAAAAAGGTCAAAATTATACTTAGTGTCACTAGTCCCTGGGATCAAACTTGATTACTGTAAGTGGTCAATAAACAAATATTTTTTTTTCTTCCCTTTTTTCCCTCTTTATTCAGTGTCATAAAAGTTTTGATCCCATTAAAAGTCTTGAACTGGTAAGACTATAACATTGGAGAATCCTACAGAGGAATATGGAGCGAGGGCTGAAGTATCCGCCCCTCGAGTGCTCTACGCACGGGAACTCGCAACGAGCCCTGAACCCCATAATCCCGAAGAACCCCCCACAGGATGCCACGAGGGACACGGTCGAATGCCTTCTCCAGGTCCACAAAACACATATGGACTGGTTGGGCCAACTCCCATGAACCCTCCAACACCCTAGTGAAGGTAACGAGCTGGTCCAGTGTTCCACGGCCAGGGCGAAAACCGCATTGCTCCTCCTGAATCTGAGGTTCAACTACCGGTTGGATTCTCCTCTCCAGTTCCCTGGCATAGACTTTCCCAGGGAGGCTGAGGAGTGTGATCCCCCTATAGTTGGAACACACCCTCCGGTCCCCTTTCTTAAAAAGAGGGACCACCACCCCGGTCTGCCAGTCCAAAGGCACTGTTCCCGAACTCTACGCAATGCCGCAGAGGCATGTCAGTATTGGTTATAAATAAATAAATATTATTTTCTATTTAATATATTTTAAAATGTAATTTATTCCTGTAATGACAAAGCTGAATTTTCAGCATCATTACTCCAGTCTTCAGTGTCACATGATCCTTCAGAAATCATTCTAATATGCTGATTTGGTGAAACATTTCTTATTATTCCATGTTGAAAACAGTTTTTGCTGCTTAATATTTTTGTGGAAATCATGATTCATATTTTCCAGGATCCAGGAGAAGTTAAAAACAGCATTTATTTAGAATGAAAAATTTACATTTCTTTCCCAAAATGTTTGTTTGTTGTTTGAATATGCACGGGAAACAGAATTAATCACATCATTGATCAGGCTGTGATTTCTGTTTCCATGGTAACAATAACTCTGATAAGTGGAGTTCTCTTTAAGAGACTTTTACTAAAAATTTAATTGCCAAATATTTTTATTTTTCAGGAGTATATAATCACATATAATGAAAAACCTCAAACATATAACAATCATTAAAAATAGATTTGACTACGAAGAAAATGTTTGCACTGTTGCACACTAGGCTTGCCACGATAGATGGTGCTAACGGTGATACCGTTGTTAAGCCACAACACTAGTTACGTCACTTGCCCACCGCGGCACCGACCCCCACCATCGTTTAGATTTTTTTATAGTAATAAAAATCATTTAGTTCAGTAAAAGAACAGATACTACAATTAAAAACTGAACGCGGCTGCACAGATCAGATTTCATTTATCCAGTAAGGGGAGTGAGTCGAGCTGACTGAGAAGAAGAGTGGGGTGAGACAGACAAGACGATCGCGGATGATTTAGTTTCGAAACGAAATGCAAAACCTGTTGACTTTTGCCGTTTATCTAAGGTGATTTTGGAAGTTTTTTTAAACATTAATTTCTTATTTAATTGATTCCACAGTGTTTGCTGATTTTTACTTTATTTAAACTGTGT